GGAGACGTAACAATATCATATTTAAAAAGTGCTGGGTATCTAGAATTGATCTTGAACCATCGTTTGATGTATCTGCCCCCCCCCCCCCCCAGTGGCATATCGGCATGTCTGCGGACTTACAACGCTAGAAACTGTGTTTTGATACCCGTGGTTGGCATAGCACAAATAGCCCATTGTGTAACTTTGTGCATTATTACAAAAAAAAAGTGACGTATGTTTAGCCGTTCGAAACATGTAAGATCAACTTGTTTATGGCTCTTGACATAATACTTGCATTAAAATCCTTCGTTGCACAAGAAACAAAACATTACATGATAATTTAGTTTTTCAACTTGTGCCCAAATTGATTACACAAGAAAGAGAGTTTAAAGCATAACATATGGAAGATTAACAATTTCCTCAAATTTCGACTTGATTTCGCCATTTGGTATTTTCAATTTGAACTACATCTTAAACGGAAAATGGGCTAAACAGCCAGGTAAGAGACACCGAGATTCGAGTATAACCATCTCTGAGCTAGAATTGCTGACGAGAGGAATCAATCAGTTAGCAGCACCATAACTTATTCATATACTCTTAACCAAATAGTGTGATTGACTGTCACGATTATAACTTGTTGTAAGTTGAAATTGCGGAGTGTATGCATCAGAATATAGCAGCTCGAACCTCAAACCTTTTGATTGGCAGCCCGGCATGTTAACCGCTAGGCTATGTCCATTTTTGTATACATTCTTCGCTATACTGATTCATAACAATTACGGATTTCAGATCTTTCACATGGTTACATAATATTTGACTATATACATATCACGTTTTCCACCAACAAGGATGCTAGTAGCAATATTTTCACAAATACTGATACTTCTATATATTTCTTATTAGCTTTCCCTAAAAGTTTCGAAACGAGTTACATATATAAAGAAAAATAATAAATTATAATAATTTTTTCTCTGTTTATAATTTTATAAACAATAATGGTTATTATGAAATGTTGTAATGTTTTACAATACTGTTTTCTGGTCTACGAGAAGAATCCAAATGTTTTATCTTAGACAAACCTACCAACAATAGAGGGCGCTTAGTCCAATATATTTAAAGTACTCTTTTACCCCTTTTCTTGCTCAGATTATCTCCATTTTCGTTATTTGGTGCGCATTTCGTGTATCATTGTCTTTTCCTTGATTATTGATCTTTATGGTAAGTTATGAATAAAAAGAACCCATTTGTAGATGTGTTCTGTTTATTGCGATAAACAAAATTTTTGCAGGCAGAAATGTAGTTGTCATTGCCGTCTTTATGAAACTTGTTTTAAGAATATATATATATACATATATATTGCGCAGACGCAAAATGCCTGTTTTCTGTATATTTTTACGCTGGTTAACAGCAAGCTGGGATTTGATGTTTACTGACTATTTGTTTATTGGAGCTTATATATACTAGTGTTATAACACATTGATTTTAATTTATTTTGTATAAATTTCGAAAGCTTAGAAATCTCCTATGTATAAAACAGTAACATACCTTTTGGGTTGTAAAGGAGCTACCTTGCCTGTCCGATTTCGGAACCAACTACTGATTGTAGCAGCAATAGTGTGACGCAGTCGCACATGGGACACTTCTTGGGCTTGCTCAGTTTCCAAATTCGTGTACCCCTGGCCCTTCTACGCATGGGCCATTAACATGTGCGTGATCATCTGTGTAGAAAACCCAGCTTGACATGCTCAACTATAACCCATAGTTACGAGAACCACACGTGCATCTTTAAAGTTCTATAGTATTGAAATGTCACCACTTCGTACCGAAATTAAAACTAGGCCTAGGAGCTTCTTTTATGCATTATATGACGTCTCCATGTTAGGCTTAGTTTGTGTTCTCATTTTCTTCGGGTCCGAGATCGTAGTGTCATTCTGTGAGAGAAACGAATTTCCCAGCTGAAAAGTATGCAAACAAATGGTACTGCCAGTAATGTTTCATTTCTAAATTACGGATGTTGATTGAAACATTTAAAATAAGTGCCCTGTATTTATTATATAACATTTTTCTTAATTTAGCTGTGCTTTAGACTAATTATTTGTAATAATGTAATATAGTGCCAATAGTAATACTCACTAATAGTAAATTAGTAATACTAATAGATCAGATAATGCTTGGAGACGGCTTGAATGGGTAATGAGGAAAAAAAACGTTGTACATTTGCTCTTATGTTAAACTTGTATTAAAGTTTTTCTTCATTACCCATTCAAGCCATCTCCAAACATTATTAATCTCAAATTGGGTTCCTCGTCATCGAATATAATAGATCAGATATATTACATGTGTTTAACATTCACAGATCTTGTTTAAAAATCAAGACTAACATTAAACTGAATAGAACTGTTCTGTAGTGTACTTCAGTAAAAAATAAAGTAAACTAGGTAATTGTAAACCTTGATTTTAATGACAGAATGAGAGCAAAATTTTCACACTTTCATTTTTAGAATGCTGAATGTTGCTATGTAACCTTCCAACAAGTAAGCTCGTAAAATACCCAATAGTTTATTACTAATTTTTGTATCCTCCCTCTTTGAAAGGTTTTATTTTTAAAAGTAAGTTAATGGTTGGTATTTACTATGCACAATCCCATTAAGTGCCTGGTTTTCATTTGTATTATTAACACTAATGGGAGTAACTATTTGGAGCCATTTCATTAAAATAATAACTTACATGCTTGATATATTGAAGTTATTTAAGTCTAGTACAAGTAAAGTAGTACATAGCTTCAGAATTATTTTTAGTAAAACTTAACTTAATCATTCATAGAATAAAAGTGTACTTTCTTTACTCATAGGACAAGCCATATTTTAGTGGAAAATTTACAAGTTTGCACTCTTGGTATTGTGAGGAATTAAGTTATCATTATTTCTTCCTTAAAATATAGGCATCTATTGGCATTTAATCATTAAGTATATTATATCATTACACACACCTTCTGTTAATAATTACTTACAAGTTTCCTACTTACCATTTGTGCAATCACCTTATTGAAGCTTAAACTATAATGGTCACATGCTTTGTAGAAAGTGTTTGTTGTTGACTGACTTGTGAAGTTGTGCTATAATAATTTTTTTACACTTATAAAACCAAAGTGGTTATTGTTGATTGTCTTATGACATAATGCTATGTAACAATTATAAACATGTGGCATCAACATGTATAATGAACTGTGGTATATAAATATGTAACACATTGAAGACTTAACAATTCTTTCAATGGAAGGGTGTGATGTTGAATGATGTTCTGACTTTAAATACACATAATAACTTTACTTAAAACACTGTCTTCATTCTCTTTATAATCAAGGATGTTTTTCATTGTATTAGTGTTAAACTGTAAGGTTTGCTTTTTTATTGATTTTTGAATAAATATGACTAACAATAATAATTGAAAATGATACAATGCTGCTTATTTTGTAATTTAGATCTGAGAATTATGTTTTAAATGATTTGTGAAACAAGTTCTACAATTGGCTATCCAAACCATCCCACCCAGCATTTACTTTTTACTTAAACTTGTAAAAATAAATCTAAGTATCAAGAATTTGAAATAGTTTACTGAAAACTTGTTCTATAACTTATATGAATTAAACAAGATATAGTTTTAAATTATTAAATAAATTAATATTTTTTTAAATCTGTTAAAAAGTATCAGCATAATTTTTTTGAAAACAACAGTACAAATTACAAATGAAACTTGATATAAAACATTTGTAATTAGTTATTTTTTGATGTTGTTTTTTTCTGGTAAGCTATTCAAGTTACGAGCTTTGGTCTATCTGTAGCACTGATGAATATAATAATTGAGCTAGTGTTTTGCATATGTTGGAATAGATAACATATAATGGAAATATCTGAAACCTGGCTAAATGTTGACAATTTTGATGGCAGGAAATTCTTTGAATTACAGGGTTATAGGCTGTTTACTAAGGATAGAGTACTAAAAAGAATGGGAGTAGCTTTATACAGCATGTTCAAGTTAAGGATATCAAAACTAATAGCAATGAAGTTGAATCTGCTTGGATTTCTGTTATTTATTCTAAGGGTAGAAGACTTTTAGTTGGAATTTGTTAAATACTACTAGATGAAACTGATAAAATTAATGAGAAACTACAGTGAGATAAAAAATTCAACTGTTAATGAGGTTATAATTTAGTGAGATTTTAATTTCAGACATACAGATAGGAAATTGATAGAGCCAAACAATGAGGGAGAAAGGTTTTTAGAAACTGTTCAGGATAGTGTTCTTCAACAATTGGTTAGGAAACCTACTAGGAACAATGATATATTGGATTTTTTTGTTAACTCCTAAAAAAAGAAATGGTTGATAGGGCAGAGATTGGGGAACATTTGAGTAAAAGTGATCATCATTCAGTTAGATTTAATGTTGTGCTACATATGGAGCTAAGGAATAATGAGATTTTGGTTACAAATTGGAAAAAAAGCAAATTTTGAAGAGTTAGAGATACAGATCAAATTTGGAAAAAATTTTAAAATTAATTTTTCAGTGTTAAAGATGGGCATGTTCCTTATAAAAAAGGGTGGCTGCTAGTAAAAAAATAAGCTGGCTCACAAGTGGTATAGAAGATAAAATTATAGAAATTTAAATTAACTGCAATGATGGGAGGATTGGTGGATTACAGAAGATCAAGAGAATTAGTCAAAAAATGTAGGAAATCAGTAAGTGTATGTGAAAAAATATCTTGGTTGAAAATGTAAAAGGTAATATTAAAGATTTCTTTTAATACATTAAGGTTAAGCAAAATGAGGTATGATACAGAAAGGCTAATATTTGATGATTATGGGATAGCTGCATTATTAAAGTCTACTTTTTCTTTGGTTTTTACAAATGAAGATTATTCCTTATCCTAAATAGTTGCCAGATGGAAGCAAGATTGAACAAGATGATCACATTAATTCTGAGCTCATTAAGGAAAATTGGGAAATTTAAAGAAGGATAGCTTCTGAGTCAGATAATATTTACCCAAGGGTTTGGAAGAAGGTTGTGTGCCAATAAAAATGGGATTATTATTATTATTATTATCATATCTGTAGAAGTTCAGACATGAAATATGTTTATGTGTAGTGTAATGAAAACAGTAGTTTTTGCTAAAATGCATAGTTGAAAATATTGATTAATCAACAAGAACTTAGGAAAACTATATTTGGTTGTCATTACTTATTACTTTTAAGATTTTGTAGTCTAAAACACTATAATTAAAAATTATTTAATATTGTTTTTATTGTCTGTAAAATTTAGTTCAAATATATACATCTTAAACTTTTTTGTTGATCTTCATGTTAGAATGTCTAATAAAGTTTGTACAAGGAATTCTGTGAAGAGTATTTCATGTTTGCTTTTATTTCTCCTTTTCATTTAAAAGATTTTCATGGCTTTACACTGTGGACTGTTTGTTCAATAGAACCGTTTGTTATAGTTTGTTCATTTGAAATCATTTCTGATAAATAATAAAACTGATTTTTGTGTATTATTAATGCATTTTTTTAAATATAAATTATGGCACCTCAAGGAATTTTCTTGTCCATGAAGAATGTCCTGACTCTTAACCTCCCTCAAAAAACAGAAAACTAATCACTAAGTCTAGCCTTGACCCTCTCCCCAGGCATTCATCAGCCCTCTTCTTAAACTCCTGTAAAATTGTATCCTCTATTACTATGGATTACATTTTTTTCAAGAGATTTATCTTGGATAAATATAATGTGTGTGACACTTTTTATATGAAGTTATGACCTTGTTATACTTACCTCAGTATTTGACAAGAAAAATATGTGATGTCTCAATCTTGCAGTTCTGTTAATAATTTTTAATTCTTCAGTTAGAGCATTCCTGACCCTTCACTGTTCAAGAAAAAACAAGTTGAGATCTCAGTGTGTCCTCATATGACAAGTTTATGACCCATCATCCTTGGAGTTATTCTAGTAGCTCTCTTCTGAACCTTCCCGTCAATACAACAAAGCCTCCTTTGTATTTTACATACAACCCATAATTTGGTTAGCTTTGCCACTTTTAATATAACACTGTTTCAAAAGCTTAAGAGTTGTGTGAACTAGTACCTCAAGGTCCATTCCTTCATCCTCATAACTAAGAGGATTCCAACCTAAAAATTATATGGAGATTTATATTTTAATAATCCATATGCACAACCTCATCATAATTATGACATCTGTCATGTGTTTTGTCAAACTAACCTATCAGTCAAAGTCTGTCTATAAAAGTTTAGCATCCTTGTTACAGCAGATTTAACCAATTTCTAAACTATGCCTTTAACATTGCTGTTAAATTGAAAAGAACAACAGTCCCAGCTCCAATCCTTGAGGTACACCACTTACTACAATAGTCCAGTTAGAATGAACTCTGTTAATATTAATTTTTTTTAGTTCCTCTCATCCAGCCAAACAATCAGTCCTTTTAACTTATTCCCTTCACTTACTGAGTTAGTTGTTTTTCACCAATGTTTTATGGAAGTAAACCAAATCTACTCCTTTACCCTCTTTGAGATTTAAATAACATTCTCATAATGAAACTTAATAGGTTAGTAAGACAGAATTTTCCTTTGTAAAGCAACTTTGACTAAGTGATAAAAATTTAAACATCATTAAATTATCTTGCAGAGCATATTTTTATTAGTCTGAAGATTCCTCCACTACAAAAGTAAGACTAACTGGCTTAAGCTTACCTGAACAATGCTTAACTCCCATTTTTAATATTGGAGTAACATTAGCCATCCTTCAATATTCTGGTACCATCCACTTTTAAAATGACTTACCAAAAATTTAAGTGAGTGGCTCAGAAATATGGTCCTTAAACTTTTTAAGTTAGGTTAAATATAACAACAAGTTTTATCTATTTTCAAACTCTTGAGTTTTTTCTCTAACAAGCTTTAGGTTAAAATCAGTATTGCACATACTTGAAACATTTCTTCCCAAAACATTCAACTCTGCTTTTTATAACAAAAACATGGTATAATTCACGGGTTTGACACATTTGTGGCAATAAAGTTTCAATAAGTTAAGTTGAAGAGTTTAATAGCTTTAATTTTTTCTAATTATGCTATAATGAAATATTGTTCTTCATTAGTAATGAGCATGACATCGGATCTTGGCTCTGCTGTCAGTTCCACTGTTAACCACAATGTGATTGATGGTGATGAAATGAGCTCTGAGCCATCAACTCCTGAGAGCAATTCCTACAATGATTCAGACTTGCTGTCTTCTTCTACTATTGGAGATGATGTTACTCTCCAGTTGGCTGCATCAGGTGAGCTCTAAAATTGGCAAATAGTTTTAAGTAGTTCTTCGAACCACTTAATTTTTTTGTTTTTCCTTTTTTTGCCACTTTATTTATATTTATAATTTAGTAATCTGGGATGTATTTACTATAGTATATCTAAAAATATAAATTTCCATCACTAATTTTTACTCGTCTTAAATGTGTTTGTAGTAACTAATTAATTTTTTTTCTTTATTTAAATTCACTTTGTCATAATTAGTCCCTTTTGTTTTTCTTAAGGAAAGCATTTCTAGAACAAATTCTTATTTTGAATTATATTGCTAAAGCAACAACGGGAATGCTTTTGTTTTGTTTTTTTGTGGGATTATTGGATGCAATCTTTTTAAAAGTGATAATCCAGTTTTAGGAAGTGGATAACTATTATGGCTTGCAATACTAACCTTTTCTAATCAGCATAGTGGTTCAAGAATTATAATTTCAAGAAACTGGTACATGATACCATTATGTTTGCAAGAAATACATTAAATTATTTCCCTCATTAGGTCCTGTAGGTGTGGCTGCCGCAGCTGCCATAGCTTCAGGAAAAAAGCATAACAGGTCATATTCATTTGAGATGAACCCTTCCATACGAAAACGTCAACAAACAAGGCTTATTAGGTGTGTGTGTAACTATATTTATTTATATTTTTCTCCTCCCTCTTTTGCAATTACTATGACTAACCAGATACTTAGCTTCCTCCATGTTGACCCTAGTGTATTATACCTTATGTTCTAATTTTAAGTTATTATAACTTTAAGGCCCAAGATTTAAATGAGAACTTTTATTTGAGAGGAAAATTAATAGCAGTGATTTACATCATGGTAGTTTGTGCAGACTACAAATGGTTGTGTTGATAACCTGGCCCTTTAAGAAAGGAACAGAAAATACTTGTGAATTTTAAGCAGGTTGGTTAAACAGTCAACCTAAATTGAATAATAATCTTCTACAATGATAAACAATGGTAGGATTGAGAGAGAATGAGGTTATCAAATGCATTTTGTTCAGTTTTCTTGGAAGTAGTGTTCCTGTATTATGTGAACAAAGAAAATTAAATTAGAATATGATAGTTTTAGACATGATTACATAAAATAAATGCCAAACTAAGTAAATTTGGTGGGAAAATTAGTCCCAAGCATTCTTGGAACTTACTGAATGTTTATAAGGTAATCTATTAGATTTAGTTTTTTGAGAATTTTTGTCAATATGTGTTAATAATGGTTTGAAAAGATGTTTGTATCACAATATATTCAAATTTGAGAACTTTCCAGTGGCATAAACTGATTGTAAATGATGCAGATTTTTTTAAATGACTACTACAGACAGTGAGTAGATGATTAAAGTTTAATGAAATACTTTCTGAGATGTAAAAAATACTGTCTGGATTGGTGGATATACACGTGCTTTCTAAAAAAAACATCTACGCTTAAAAGTTATGAAACTATAGAATTGAAACCTTTATCCATTTTCAATGCTGATGTTATTTTATTAAATTTAACATTTTTTATTATCTTTCCTTAGTTTAAGTATTATACTATTTTTTACTTAAGTCCAAGACTTAACTGGTTTTGCTGTATATTGATATGTGCTTACTCTTTTACAGAATTTTTATTATATACAATAGACTTTTAATGTTTTCAAGCTTTCCTGTAAGTAAACTATGATAGTGTGAGTAGAGCTGGGTGATTTAATCAATTACCTATGACTAGCGATTACATCATTTATTGTCACATAAACTAATTGATTAATCAAAATTACAATTAACAGACTATAACTGTTGTTATAAATTACCTTATAGCACGAGAGTCAATGTGTCCTTGTATGTAGGATCTTCTTATTTCACCAATGTATGTATGATATTATATGCAAGATGGTAAATAACAATGGAAGCAAAAACAGTTGGCTTAATCTTATTACACTGTTAGGGTAATGAATGTACTTAGATTTTGAAAGTTTATTTTGAGAGTTAAACCTGGTCATTCTGGAATGTTAGTCAGCAGTTAGATTCCTTCATTATAGTTTTTAGTTTCTTGGGGAAAGTTTCATCAATTAGAGATACTGTAAAAGTATTGTTTATTGGAAAATTATCATCTTTCTTCTTAGTTTATCTGTTTTTTCATGTTAGAAGGGATTTTGTCATAGTTCATGAAAATTTGTTTGACATGAAAAATGGGTTTTGTTGTTCAAAAGGAATGATTTTAATTTTTAACCTGTGTTGCTTTTATCACTGCAGTTGCGATAATTCTTTTAAATTCTCCTACAATTGTAGATTTCTTGAAACTGTTGAATGTAGAGACTTGAAGAGAAGAAAAATAGATTTTTAATTTGTTTGTGAAAGAAGGTAGATTGTATATTATTGTCATTATCAATCATCAAGGTAACGTCAAGAAAGTTCTTATAATTCAAATGATTAAAGATGTATTAGATGTTGCATGATGTCTATGACATTCAGAAATTCTAGTAATTTGATTAAACAATCAAGGCCTTGATTCCATAGTTCAAACATTCTTGTTGTATCAAAGTCTGTGATTGGGGCCAGTATTGGTATCTTGATACCATTCGTCAAGTGTCCTAGTTTCAAAAATGTGCAGAAATATTATGGCATAAGTAGCAGCTACTGAAATACCCATTGTGATGCCACTTAGTTGGAAATGTAGTTTGTTGTCAAAACAAAAATATCCATTATGAAGGTTGAAACGTAAGATGCTTCTGGAAGTGTTTACTGATAGTTTGTACATCTCCAAATTATTTATGTGATTCAATATGAATTCACACAGATAGATGGGTAGAGAACTACAACAGCTAACGTAAAGAATATTCTTTTAAACGTCACTAAATGAGATTCACTCTTAATTTGAGATAGTTGGTTTGGTATTTTTTTTTTCAAGTATGATGGTATGATAGTATTCATATTTTTGGTTGTATGTAACATGGTTTGAGTAACACTGTAGTAACTGATTAATTGAATGTAATCACTTAACCCTTTGAGACGGGTCATGAGTGAAAGGCCATGTC